TTTTTTTTTTTTTTTTTTTTTTTTTTTAAAGATTCAGTTTGGCAACATTGTTCATGGCATATCATAGTTTCACTCCTTCACCATTGAACCAGCTTTCATCTGACTCTCCACTCAGTTATCAACGTTTGTTTTCCTGCAGGAATCTCGTAGGATAACGCAGTTCCATTATATGAACTGGCCGGATCATGACGTCCCCTCATCATTTGATTCCATTTTGGATATGATTGGGCTGATGAGAGAATACCAAGAGAACAATGATGTCCCAATATGTGTACACTGCAGGTAGTTATGCATGCATCTACTCTTAGCTGAAATTGAGTTAAAGGGGTTTTGTTGTTTTGGTGAAATTCAGTTAATATGTGAAATATATGAAATTTCTAAAAATGGATTAATGTAAAATGCTTAATTGCTTTAAACAAAGCAGGTTTTACCCAATTTACTGAAGCTGGAGACTTCTAGGCTTCTAGTTCTAGGCTTCAAATGTAAATATTATCAGTATAGTACAGTAAGAAGCTTAAATGGTAAAGTTATCAACTTGAGTGTAAACAAAAGCAGAATAATTACAAGCCCACAGTTTCTAGTTTTCTGCTGCGCACATGCATAGGTGTACACACACACACACACACACACACACACACACACACACACACACACACACACACACAATGCACACACTCGTCTCCATGTGTGTGTAATCAGCTATAATGAGCAGCCTGAAGACATTTCCTGGTTCCTCTGTTACACAGCAGGACTTAAAGCTACATCTCTGCATCTGTTAAGATGCTTTGTGTGGGTTGATGTGCGCTGTTTGTGTGGAGAAACTGTACTCTTTATAGTAGCAGAATGCTTGCTGACAGCGTGAGATCACTTTTTATGATTTTTTTTTTTTTTTTTTTTGTGTGTGTGTGCTTCTGTGAGGCTCCTGTCTCCTTCCTGTCTGGATGAGGTGTTATTACACACATGCAAACAACATACAAAAAGAGCAGATGCTTCTCAGTGATAGAAATCTAGTTAACTAGTGCACTGATACAACAAAAGCTTATTTGTGTATATGTGTGTGTTTCCACTAATCACAGTGCAGGCTGTGGGAGGACAGGAGCTATCTGTGCTATTGACTACACATGGAACCTCCTCAAAGCCGGGGTATGTCAACACACACTTACCTGTGCAAATGTACACATTAGAGCGATTTTAACATTTCTTTTAATTCTCTTTTAACGTTGTAAAGAAAATTCCAGAAGATTTTAATGTATTCCGGTTGATCCAAGAGATGAGGACACAGCGACACTCGGCTGTTCAAACCAAGGTTTGTTGTCTTAGCTTTCATTACAGATGTAAATTAATGAAACGGATGTTTATACAGAGCGATAATTTATTTACTAGTTCCATACTAGCACAGAAATGCTAATCAGTCCTCAGAAGCTTTAATGCTGCCAAGCACAACCATGGCCCTGAGGTCATGAACTCTAGACGTCGTCATACATAACACACTTTTTATATATAGTTTTTTTTCTGTATTAGATGTGTTCTTGTTACTGGAAATTATGAAGAAGTATTAGAGCCACTTTAAGAAAAACATTACATTTACATTTACATTTTGAGAATAAAGTCAAAATATGGAGATGTTTCAAGACAAACTGCCACAGCTGCTATACCCTCTACAAAATGCCTTGTGTCGATGAGTTAGTGAGATCGTACTTGGTTTCATTTAAAAGGAAGTAATTTCTCTTTTAGCACATAAACACAGTGGTGTGATAAGTAAAAGAACACTGAAGACGAAAAAAAAGCAAACACAAAGTTGGAGGACTTGGCCAGATTTGTCCAAAATGAAATGGGCAGGTGAAAGGATACTAGTGGAATCACAAGAGGCGATAGGACAGCTGATCAGTTAGTTTCACTGACTCATCTACACAAAGCGTTTTGTAGAGTGTATATGAGCCGTGGCATTGGCAACTGTAATCTCCACATTTTGACTTTCTTCTCAAATTGCACACAATTTTTAAATATTTTTTTTTATGTGGCCCTAATACTCGGTTGTGGGAAATAATCTGTTCGGTTTAGACGAGAAGTGGCACTTAGGTAGAGTGCCGCAGGCAGGAGGTAATTAAAGTCAGCACGAACACTCCCTCAGTGGGAATTCTTTGGACAGTCTTCTGCTCCTTTGTCACATGGGTTCAACAAGACAGACACCACACAGTTTGTTCTGTGTCTGCAGGATAAAGTTTGTTTAATGTCGATGTGAACCTTGATCGCCTGGCTGTAATGTATGTGTGGTAATGGCTGCCAAGTAGATTTTCATTTCCTTCATCGTAATTTTTTTTAAAAAAAAGGCATGTTATCATATAACTGAAGTGTTAAACTGTATTTCTGCAAGATTTGGAAAAGATATCTTGTTAACCTTCTGTTCTTTTAAGGTTATAATGTTCGAATGCACAGCTGTAATAATAAGCTTATTTCCTGTTAAAGGTCGCCCCCTTCATTCTCATCTCGTTTTGCTACATACCTGGTTGAAAAGGTTCTTTCATTATCTCGCGTTCCCATCGCTGCGTGTAACTGGTTGAGGTTGTTTTGCCACAATTTTTAACATGGGTATGTTTTCATGTTTACTTCCTGTAGTTAATGTGTGATTTTTGCCAGGAGGCATGTTGCACTTTGACATAGAGTCAAATTTGTACCTTTAGTCCGAGCTGTTTCTTTTTCTCTCCCAGGAGTGAAAATGAGCCCCGTTAATTGAATTACAGAATTGATTTGCCAAACGCTGACACAGGTTTGAGTTCAAAGTCTCAGACCGCCATCCTGTAGGAAGCTTGTAACTGTAATGAAATCTGTTTTGATAGAGTGGAAAGTATATTTGATTTGATATTGATTTTCCGAAACTCGTTTTTTTTCCCCCCTCCTCTACTTCTCTCTTTCCTCTCACACCTTGTGCATTTAACCCTTATCTCTGGCTTCATGCACCAGTTTTTTTTCTCTCCTTCCTGCCTCATCATGTGTCTGTTTTCTTTCTATCTATAGGAGCAGTATGAGCTGGTTCATAGAGCCATCGCTCAACTGTTTGAGAAACAGCTACAGCAGCTGGAGAGTCCCACCAGCACACAGATCCATGATGGCATGGTATGACACACACACACACACACTGTGCATGCTCTGTAGTGTTAAAGCAAGACAGGATGTCGCTGAGTAACTTACTGGGAGTGGAGGGGAAAAAAATACAGATAATTAGTCACAGGGGAGAAGATGGTGTGGAGAGGTCTAAAGAAAACTTTTGTTTACAGACAGAAAAAGAAGAGTCATTGTGATTGTGCTTAAAACGAGAGATATCTCTGTACAGAGAACTCTGAGGACTGCAGACAATTTCAGCTATTTAAAAACAACTGGAAGCGCTTTGCTCTGTCACTTACCACTGACCTCATTTTAAATTGCTTTACATTATCCTCTATTGCCCCCAAATACACAAGAGCTCTATACAAAGTGTCCTGAATTGTCTCTGGTCCTCCTCCCATGGCCAAAAAAGTTTTTCTCATATGATCAAAGTTTGTTGCAAATGACACTGTACAACGTAGGTCTAATAAACTGAAACTAAAGCTTGATGTATGTAGACTGTATGAGAATTTCTTCTTCTGTGTTTCGTCCTCAAGTTTGAATAGGGCTGCTACAACTGGGAATGGATTTCTTTTTTCTTTTCTTGGCTCATAGATATGGACACTTTGATATGAACCAATGCCATGTTTTTTTCACAATGACCTTTCATTTAGGACAGTGCACAGCATATACCCAGCCTAAAGAACAAAACAACACAAAAAAAGAGGGACAAATATTATTTCCCAAACTTGAAAGACACCAAAACTTTGTGTTTTTAAATATTCATGCTCTAATCTGGTTTTGGAACACAAATTATCATTTAACTATAGGTCCTTCCTGTCATCCCATCAAGCAGCCTTAAAGAGACTACAAGCTGCTCTATATTTAGACAGCTAGACCTTAGAAGGACTGCACAAGCTTCACTGTAAGAGGCTGAAATCAGTACAGCGCATTAAGTGATATAAACAGAAACTGCTGTTACTGTAAGTGAAGTATAATAGCAAGTAATAATAAATGTATTGTGAGCAGATAAAATACCAGACCATAAATCTGCTGCCTCTTTCTGAGGCATGTTTGCTTCAGTTGCTTTTTAAGAGAAACCAGCTCACAAATGCAAGTTTAAGTGCAGCATATGCAACACGATACACAAATACCCATCAGCATTTTACACCAATGGCCTCTGAAGTAATGCAACCAGTTTCTGTGTCAAACGTTTCTGCCTGAAGATGGGAAGCTTTAGGTGCTAGCTTTGTTGAAGTGGTGCCATTTCACAGCCTTTTAATCCTAAAGAGAAATTAAAATGATGCAAAGCAGCATCAGGTGAGGTAACATCAAGAAATGAGTGCTCCACCTGACCTGTGAAAACATAGACATGGTGGAAATGGGAATCAATGAGAGAGCTTTTAAGATTGGCAAATCTTAAGACTGTGGGAGGTGTGGGGGGGAGGGGGGGATACAGAGCTGATGAGACAGTGTGCTGGCAGCAATCCAGAAGCTCACTTCCTGCTTAGGAAGCTTTGGTGACATCACTTCTCTCCCATAATGCACTCTGAGTCTGAGAATAGAAAAACACATCCGTTGGGAAAGGGCGACCCTCGCAAGACACGGTCACACAGACGGACACAACTGTTTTTGACATTAGAAAAGAATCTGCTGACATACTTTGTAAAGTGGAGCTCAATATATCTTTGAGCGGCTCTAAAATGTGGACAAACTGTATCACTACTTCCCTTGTTTTAAAATTTATGCTATTAATCATTTAAGGATAAGGTGTGGTTTGCACCAAGCGTGACATAAACTGCAGCACAAGTCTGTAGCTGCTGATCGTGACTCTGTTATCTCACTTAGTTGCAAGTCCAAGAAGAACGCTGCACGCACAAACAGCACATCAGTATTGCTGTGCTGTACTGACTCAGTCCATACATGGATTGACTCATGTCCAGTCAGCCATTGTTGGTGACTAAAACACCCACATAGGTGATCTCTGTGGCATTGGGAACAATAAGCCTCCACATACACGCATCCCACATGTTTCTCCGCACGCTCACACCCGCCTTTGTTCACAGGAAACAGTCCCACTAGATCGGTTCTCACAACATACGTGGACATACGGAGCCAAAGAAGCTGTGTTCCTGCCCTCTTTTCTTAGATCAGAATTTAGTTCCTTGGCAGACTACAGCGTTCAAATGGCCCGGTTTGCCCCTATGTCATGAGTTTGACAACTGAAGTTGGCCTGTCATCTTCTCATTACCAGAGTGGGAAGGGAGTCAAACTAATGAGTCACAGGGGAGAAGAGGAAAGATGAGAGCTGAGGAAGAGAGAGAAAAATTGTTGTTGGGGGGAGGGCTTCTTTCAGATTAAGTCTTTCATCGTTTGGTGAAGCAACTTTGTAGCAACTTGTTACCTCTGCTTCAGGAACATTTAGGTGAGAAGAAAGAGGGTTAGTCCAGAGGCCTTGCTGAAAAATATGCTTCATCTTTCATGTAAATGTACAAAAAACAAAATATAATGATTAACTAAAAGTAGGGATGATGGTAGTTGCTTTCCAGCATCTAAATATGACAGGAAAGAAAAATAAGAGGGTTTCCCTTATTTTCCACTTTTCACAAATGTCGTGTCCAACTATTTTGTTACTCTTGTGTGTTTGTCCAGGATGAAAGCAGTCCTGACAAAGCAAGCAACCAATTATCGGATGATACATGGGACACTCCACCTCCAAAACCTCCCCGCATTCGCAGGTAGGACATTTGTCTGACATTTATTTATTTTTTCAGTTTAACATCCTTATATCGCTAAATCGTTCCAGCCTGTTTTTCATTAATGATGTTTACAACTGGTCGACTCTGCGTTTTAGTTTTCACCTGCTTTACCTCGTCCTCAACACAGATTAGTTAACAAGCCCACACAGGCGTTCACGCCGGGCGAGAGGCGGCTTGTTGGAGAACACTGTGAACACACAAAACACACAGAAAACATATTAAAAAAAAAAAGAAGAAATAATATCCCAGTATTTTGTTACAGTGTAGCTCCCCATCAGCCCAAAGTTACAAACAGCCTCCACTTTACCAAAGTTAACTTCTGTTTGGCTGCTGCTCCTACTGGAGGAGGAGCTGTATTTATAGATCATTTTGCAACACTTTGCAATGCTCTGCAACACAACACGGCATTGAACACACCACAACCCAAGGCTAGTTAAAGCAGAACTGTTACATTTTTCATCTCCTTCTCTTTGAGAACAAACAGTCCTTTATGCAAATGCAGGCAATTTATTTCAAACACATACACACACTTTATCTGCCGCATTCATAAATACACAGATTTCTTTTCTCTTATTCTTTGTCATTCAGTCTTGTACATTTTTCCTCCATCTTATTACTCAATTATTTTATTATTATTATTATTTTAAATCTTGCTTCTCTCTGCGGTCTTTTGTCTCATCCTTTTGGGCCTGCAGGGGTGTACACTTTTCTTACAGCCCTCTTTCTTTCTACTCATGATGTATCCACACCTGGAAATATCCTCTCCCCATTAATACAGCAAAACACTTTATAACTGCACTTTATAGCAGCACGGTGGCACAGTGGTTAGCACTGTTGCTGCACAGCAAGAAGGTCCTGAGTTCAATTCCACCATCAGGCCGGGGTCTTTCTGTGTGGAGTTTGCATGTTCTCCCCGTGTTTGCGTGGGTTCTCTCCAGGTACTCCGGCCTCCCACCGTCCAAAGACATGCAGTTTGTGGGGATAGGTTAATTGATTAATCCCAAAGGTGTGAATGTGAGCGCGAATGGTTGTCTGTCCCTGTGTGTTAGCCCTGCGACAGACTGGCGACCTGTCCAGGGTGTACCCCTGTCTCGCCCTATGACAGCTTGGATAGGTTCCAGTGCCCCCCGCAACCCTGAAAAGGGTAAGCGGAAGCGAATGGATGGATAGAAGCATTTTCTAAAGATTTGCTGTTTGACAGCATATTTTTGTGCTAATGTAAGAAACAATGGCTCTGTGATTATCAGCGTGATTACATTTATAGTGGCAAGAAGATGTAAAGTGATCTGCTACTCCTTTTTTTTTTTTTTTTTTTTTTTTTGGTCCTGAATAAATAATTATCAGCTGACAAACTCCACTTTAATAACACGGCTGATGCTACTGTTCTTTTCTGCGGGCAATACATAATTTAGACATTCACAACAAAGATTGGGAAAAGTGTACCTACCCGTAGGCTAATGATATCAACAATTTATCAGGCATTTTATTACACCGAGGAACTGGTTGAGCTATCTTTTTCAAAACACACAAATATTTTGCTAAAGATGATAAAAATCAAACCTCAAAGGGTTGTCTTTGTGAACACGTAATTTGCATAAAGCTGAAGTGGGTTCTCAAATCATGCATCAGTTAGTAGGGACGTAAGCCTTAATGCATGTGAAGATGATTTAGTGCTCTCTTTCTTTCCAAAGAAATGACATGCTAGGATAATTCTCCTGTCACCGTGTCCTTGATTGAAGCGCACTGGCTTACAGCTGGAATTAATCCCTGGGCACCACACAGTGGCTACCCATGTCTCCTTAGAAATGGGTAGGATTGGAGAGAAGGAATTTCCCTTCTCCAGTAATCAGTAGGGATATGTTAAAGTCCCCCAGCATAAATGAACTGGTCTCTATCTGCGTTTATAAGTGTACCATGTCATTAAAAAGGCGTATTCAAGCCTGATGCATAGTGGAGATATCATCAAAGTGAATCTTGATGATGTTTATCGACATCTGCTCTCTCACTGATAGTGAAATAATTTCCCAAGTTAAGTTTTCTTTAGCGGTGATGGAGCAGAACAATCACTGTAAGTAAACATTAAAGCAGATCTACTACAGGATGATTTTAGATAAAGAAAATATGACATTTGAAGGGCACAGAACAAGCCCAAATTTCTGCAGAAGAGCTGCTATGCCTGCAGAGGATCCTCTAGACAACCTAACAAAACACCTGAGCTAAAGCACATGAAAAAGGATCCACCAAAGCCCCTCTAGACATTATGCAGATTGAGCTGCACCTCGAGGAAAGTACTCATTTGGGGTTATTACATTTTTTAAGAGCCAATGTATCCTTTTTACTGCACTAAATTTCTCATTTTCTTTAATTCGTCTCCTGCACAAGGCAGTTTTATGAGAGAGCAGACATTTTTAGCTCATTCTAATGTTAGTGTGTACCTACAAGTTATCTGTTTACTGGACGGTTTCTTTCCTGTTCTTAGTAAAACATACAAATAGGAACTTGCAGAAGCTGCCAAAGTAGAAACACTTCCTTAAAGCAGGACACCCTGTGAGGAGTGTATGCAGTCTCCCTCTCTCTTATCAGTATGCTCCTGTATTTCTCTGCATCATCCCTGTGTTTATAAAGAAATGATGTCAAGGCCTAGTTTAAGCCTGAGAGTGTTCTATTGATGGCGAGAGCTATTTTTACAGACATAAACCACACTCTGCCGGCCACACTCCCAGTGGGTCCTGCAGTGGTGTAAATGTGTAGAAGAATCTTTGGTTGTGAGAGAGAGAGAAGGGTGGAGGGGAGATGCTGCAGGAACTCGAGGGAGTCATGGCTTTTACTCATGCTCTGCCATTAGGGATGGGTTTAAAACCTCAATACTTCTGGGCTTCTGGCTAAAATGTGTCAGTAGCATCTTGATGATGTAACCTATGACGTACCAAAACTGACATCTATGTTTTTGAGGTAGTAAAATGTGAGCAATAGTATGATATTTAAGTGTTAAACATTATATCATACAAATTTTTAGTTGTCCCAGTGGAACAAAAGATGGGTGATGCTGTATAGTGAGTCGTCTAATTGCTTTTAATTTTACAAAGCATCCTCTACCTTCTGTTTTCTGCTGAGGAAGGTGAGGCAGGCACAGAGCTCTGGCTGTGACCACCAAAGCCACAACCATCTGCTGCTCCAAACTTGTTTTTGCGCGTCTGTGGATTTATTTATGAGTGAAAATGAAGGATTTTAAGGTTTACAGGAGAAATGTATGCATTAGCGAATCTTGTGTGTCCACCTATGAGCCACGATAATCACTATTAAGCAACAAGTGAAGAGTTCTTGAAGTTGATGTGTTGAACTTGGAAACTAAAGTGAGTGACTTTGTCAAGGTAGTGACCAGACAACTAGATTACAGCATCTCCAACACATTATGTCATCTGTTCCCTGTAAGCAATGATTAGTACTTGCCAAAACAGGACAACTGAGCATGACTCAATGATGCCACAAGACCTGAAGGGCGGCTAAACCAAAATTCTGAAAACTCTACTGCTGGTTGCTAAAACACATCAAACTTCCGCTTTTACCTTGTCTCTGTGGCTAGGTGCATGTTGGGGGAAAGATGGCAAAAGATAATAGAACACAAGCCAGTGGAAGCAGCTGTGGCACTGATGTGACTGTTACACCTACCTAAACTTGCAAACATGCTACATACACTCCTTAGTCTTCAGCAGGAATGTTTGAGATCCATGACAAAGAGTTCAGGGTGTTGAAATGGCCTTCAAATTCCCCAGATCTCATTCTGATCAAGCATCCCTGGGATGTGCTGGAAAAACAAGTCTGATCCATTGACCCTCCCACTTTACACCCTGCAAGACTGCATCTGCTGCTCATGTGTCGGTGCCAGTCACTATAGGACATCTTTAAAGGACTCAATGGGGAAGCGGTTGTTTAGCAGGCAAAAAGGGAGCTACCTACACAATATGAAGAACACTGTGGGCAGATCCTGGTATAGTCACAATGAACTCTGATTGTGTCACCAGTGTCCTAACATGATAGGACTGATTTTTGACATTGTGCTGGTTGACAACATGACACTAATACATTTTTTTGTATACTGACATTGTTGCAGGATAGTTTTAGCAGTTTTTAGCAAAAGTTAGAGTGAGCTGAATTGAAGTGTTGTTGCTTCTGTTGAACAAAACAAGAGAAATCTTGATCTTTTTCATCTTTGATCATTAAACAGAATAATTTGGGCTTTTTTATTTAATCATTAGATCCCTCAGGAAAGCAGCCGCACTAGTACTTTCTGCACTTGATTTAAACTCTTATATTTTTGTAATGCATGTTTACATTTCGTCATACATGCTGTAGTTGTCACAGAGTTGCCTGCAGCTTCATTTTTTCTTTATTCTCCTCTCTTTACGCCTTGTTTGTTTTTCAGTGACTTATTAGTGTTTGCTCCTGTAACAGCTCAACCTCCCCTTAGGAATCATTAAAATTTCATCTCATCTCATCTTATAGGGCCTGAAAAAAAATCTTTGTGGCATCCGAATGTCTATAATCCCCCATGGAAATAACCGGATCCAGCTGGGAATCTGTGTTGTTAAATATCTCATGCTTGCTCAGGCAACAAAGATGACATAGAAGAAGAAATTCTCATGGGTAATTAAAGTTTTCATTAAAGAAAACAAAGAGATAGTGGTGTCTGGTTTAAGTTATGTTGAGCCTGAAAGCTAAATATGCTGTTGTTCTGGAACAGCCCACCCTTCCAAGAATTGGAGGAAAAGTTATGCACATGAGTTCTAGTTTTACAATACAATCAACTTAGTTTGGCTTTATTCAGTGGCCAGTATTATTAGCTGATATTAGCCCGTCATATTGGGATACTGGAGGTTTGTGTGTCCATAGCCTTCTTGTTAGGAAATGTCAAGTAGTCATATTTTTGTGGATGTGGTCATTTTGACACGAGCCCAAGTTTCTAACTAGCTTGTGAAATACACAATTTAGCCAAAAAGGCTACTTAATTTAAGGAAGCAAATGCAAACAGTCTTCCAGTGGATAATTGCTTAAAACATGTCGGAAGACATGTCCCGGGGTCGTGGAAAAGATGTTTCAGAAAGGTTACATTATTTTGCATCAAGCAAAAGAAGCTGAAACTACTGATGCTACGTTATGAAGTGTTCAATTAAAGTGTCAGGTGTGGTCAGGAATAGATCTATAAGGAAAGTGGTTTGAGATTACTGTGTTTAGTATTACTGTGTGTAATTATTAGTGAAAATAAGATCATTTCTAAATGCAAAATGTGAAGAGAACCCAAGAGATTGGGACTAAACAGCTGTGTAGCTGTCAGTTTGCTTGGCAGTGTAAAGCATGGATTCTAGACGCACATCAGGGGCGTGCCTAGTGCCTACTGAGGTTGTCAGTTTTATGATTCTTGGGTTGCTTCTATTGGTCAGCTGATTATTTGAATACACTGCATACATTTTGCATCAGTGTTTTGTTTTTGTTTGTTTTTTCTTGTCTTGTTTTGGTAGTACGGGCATAGGCCAAGATGACAATGCCAGGATTCATTGGGTTCACATGGGAGCATGAGACATAATTTTTGCACATGAATCGATCACCAGAGTTCAGAACTGAACCAGTCTGAGAATCCTTTGGGATGTGCTGCAAAAGACTTTACACAGTGGTCCAAAACACTCCCTAAGTTTGTTGAAACAATGCCACATCACAGCTAAAGGCGGTCCACTGAAATACTAGTGTGTGAGACTCTTTGGGTTGGGAAGTGTACATGTCTGGAGAACATCAAAACTGCACCAGCCTTAAGAATCCATTATCAGCTGGGCTCTTTAATCCAGTATGCATCCTAGCCTGTTATTATTAAAAAATGTGAACAAATGTTTGTCTGGAAGAGCAAGTAAACAAGAAAACACACGGCAGATCTCAGCCTCTGTGAAAGAAGAACGTCTTCTGTGCTGCAATTCTGAGGCTTAATGAGGAAGGCTTTTATGGTTTGACTGCAACTCCAAAGTTGCTCAATGAAAGGAAATCCCCCGAGCTTCTAGCTTGCGACTTCAGTGTCTGACTTTGTGTCTGCCTGCCTCTGATCCACACACAGCATCATGTGCTGTCAGCCTGTATGCTGGCTCTTGCCTTGGTCATGTGCTCCTAAATTGGTACACCACCACTTCCTTTGACTGCTTTTCTGTATCTATATTTTTGCATGCGTACAGCATATAAACGTATTGAACAATATTTGCTTGTGTCACTTTCCATCTCTCTGTGGCTAGCTTTGTCATAACCGCTGTATCCTGTATGCAACTCGCACACCTACACTGCGAGCTTTACAGAACTATTTATTAGTAGGCTACATTACTAAAATACTGTACATGTGGTAAAGTTATGTGGGACGGTGAAGTAATCATTCACAACTTATCTTGAATAGCCATAGATGATGTAATGTTGGCTTTTTCTGCTTCTGTGCTCTGAGGAAGCTGCCCGGAAGAGAATAAAATACTTTCGATACTTTAAGAAGAAAGCTGTCTTAGACTGTTGGTTACAGCACCATTTATATTTTGAGAAATGAAACTCTTTAGCACTGATCCGTTTTCACTTTGGCACATTGGCAGGTTATGTCACTGTTAAAGCCACATAATATGGGTGAGAGCAGAAGTCTTAAAATATCACATAAGAAATGCAATTAGTCTCTACAAGGCTAAAAGTATAGACTTTTTTTCAAATTCTGCCATCTAGTGGTGAACAAAACATAGCACAGACCTACTTTTAGTTTTATACGTACATGAGATTAAAAGTTAATTTCATCATATAAGTCTTGTAATTCGCCCTTCTTAGGATGTCAGAATTTCTGGGCGTTTCCTGATCAGCAGGAGGAATTTCTTGCAATTGCATCATTTTGATTTTCTTACCCGCAGCACAAAACTTTAACTTTTTATCCAGGCTAGAAAATCCAGGGTTTAGTTTAACAGTAAAAAATAATTTTTATGAATTTTGGGCTCTGTAAGAATGCCTCATTAAAGATCATCAAAAGCCTGTCACTCTCACTGTCAACTGTAATATCTATTCAGTAACAAACTCTTGTGGGCTTTTCTTTTTTTCCTCTCCCTCTTTTTCTCTCGGTCTAGTACGCAGGTAGAAGGCGACGTAAAGGAAGAGATCCTCCAACCCCCAGAGGCTCACCCCGTACCACCCATTCTGACCCCATCTCCTCCATCAGCCTTCCCGACTGTCACGAACGTGCGACAGGACAATGACCGCTACCATCCCAAACCCGTCATCCATGTCCTCGCTACTGCGCAGCACAACGTGACAGAGGTGAGCTGGACATAAACTAAAAATTGGCAACTTATAGGATACTATTGTGTATAGAACTGCATGGTATGTATCTAAAGGGTTTTTATTGTACATGGGAAGTTGCACGGATATAAGAATAGTAATTGGTCTGGTAAAACCTGTTATATATTAAGTCAGCTAATGGTTATGGAATTTCCTAGACTGAATGATGGAGAAGCTGTGATTTAGCAACGATAGTGCGTGGGCAGTCTGTTGGCAGCTATAGACTGTCCATATACTTGCAGGGACTGCTGATAGAGGGGCAGTGTTAAAAATATGTGGTACATCCTGTCTGTGGGCTCCTCGAGCTTTTTCTGTCATCTGCGTTGTGCCACTCGTTCATGCTCACGGGGCATCAGTTACATAGTTGTGATGACATCACAGATGGGGCAGGACGCAACCAGTACGTAGACCATAAAGTAGGAGTTAGCCCTCTACTCCCTGTTATTACAGTGGTCCTGGTTTAGGAGCACGTAATTAAACATTTAAGTGGAAGATTAAGTTCATTACCAAGTTGAGTTGTTTAAGTTGTTCCCATCATGTAGGTATAGGTGCAACTTTACAGGAAGTATCAAAATGAGATGCTGTAAAAAGGAGATCTTTATCTTTTAGCAGTGGAAAAAGTTGCATTTTTGTCTTTTGACATTATTTATGTTCTAAACAAACCGTAACATCACTAAAGAACTGCAGCTGATTCCATGATCTATGTGTCTGTTATGATTTCTTTTGTTTTTGTGCGAGTAAAATGTAGTAAATTATTATTTCAGAAGAATTAAGTTTCAGTCTAGAAGGGAAAGCAACCGGCTCACAGTCTATAATAACAGCAGAAGTCTGAAAATGCATGAATATAAATAAGGTCGTTTTGTTCTCCTACATCTCATGTTTGTTTTTTGTGTGTGGGGCCTGCTTAATCAGCTTTTTCTGAACTCTAACTTGAACATCAAAGATTTCTGGTAGCGTGTGAATGTTTTGCTTTTTGTGAAGGCGGGGAGATTACATGTCTCATTTGTTCTACTTTATGTTTATTTCAGGATAAGAAAACAGACCAGCAGCAGAACCAGCTAGAGCCCAGTCCAAACAAACAGACCAGTCCCTCAGAGCAGAAAGATCAAGAGCAACTAAGCCGAAAACAGCAGAGTCAGGTCTCAAGTCTGGATCTCAATGACAACTACAACAACAAAATGTCTTCAAAGTCAGAATCAGGCCAAAGCCAGACTCAGACCCCATCCTCGCCCCTCTCCCCAGCTGTTGATTGTTCTGGTGCTCCTCGAATCGAGAGGAAGCTCAGCATTGAGATTAAAAAGGTGCCACTGCAGGAAGGACCTCGCAGCTTTGACACCTCCTCGTCGATGGGAGTAGCCGGCGGACAAGGCTCCAGTTCTAGTAACAACAGCTGCGCACTGCAAAGAAGTCACGCATTTAAAGCTCGCACTGGTCCGTCCCTTCTGACGTCCAGCTCCTCTCTGTCAGAGGACTCTGGCACAGAGGGAGGAGCTTGTGGATGTGGAGAGAGTCAAGCAGATGGAGGCAGCCTCGCCAGGCCGAACCACCTTCCTGTAAAGAGTGGAGAGAAGGTGGAGAAGCAGGGAGGGGATTTGAAAGCCGGCCACGCAGCGTGGACTCAACACAGCAACAGCCCGGACAAACAGTACCCCAAGACCACCTCCTCTTCTTCCTCCTCAGACCGCGTGGCTCCATCCTCATCCTCCTCCTCCCACCTCTCCTCTTCCTCCTCCTCCTCCTCCTCCTCCTCCACACCTGTTAGGACTGCCCTGAGTTTCACCAACCCCCTGCACTCTGACAACTCGGACGAGGAGGGGAAGATGTCCGAGGAGACGTCCGGAGGAGGAAAGGAGGCTTTCCGCACAAGCGTATCCACAGCGACTGCCACCGTAACGGCATCCTCTCAACATGGAGACCAGCAGCCGGTCAGAAAGGTGTCGCCGATGTCAATTGCAGGGCAGATCACACCAACGGTCTCTCCATCCATAGCAAGTAGGTCGATCAGTTGCTTGAATTGCTTTCCTTCTCAATTCTTTAAAATATGTGAAATTAAGTAAGAAATTATGAAAACTAAACAATGAGGTTTAGCAGTCAAATAGTCAAGAACAATCTCTCTGAAATGCACATGAAGGCACCAAGTAAGCTTGCACTCACCTACTGTACACTCAGGAAATAAAAAACATCACACTGTAGAGTAATTTTCTGGGTCGGTAAGGAGACAGAGGTCTCAGACAACAAGCTAATGACAAGCTATATCTGTCAACACACACACTGTGTTCTCACTGCTGAGGAGTTAGAGGCCAGGAGAGGGCAAAACAGGAGGCATGGAAGAAAGGAATAAGAGGAAATGACAACAAAAACGGAGAGAGATAGTTTCCAGTGAGTCTCACACAAAGCATGACTGTTTGACTAATTGGTTGGTTTTGGAGGAATGCTGCAAATATGGACATGTGTGGAAACAACTATTCCTCCTTCAGCTTGTTTATGTGTGTTTGTCTAAGTGAGGGAATTTGTGAATGGGAGAAAGGATGAAAGAAATTGTTTTGTGTGTTTGCCGAGCAGAAAACTGTGTGTGCATGTTGGATGGGGAAAGATCAACACTGCATGATACTGATGAATGCACTTACGCCACTTTGGTGCACGTTGGGTCAAACAGACAGTGTCACGCTGTTTGGGATTGATGTGATTGTGACAAGGAGAAGTGGGTTTTAATCTCCAGGTGGGGTGTGAGGACGGAGACTTCTCCTGCTGCTCTTCATTCTTTGATCTGAGCTCACGTGAAATTGAGCGGACTGGGCTGAAATCATCTGTGCAGTTTAAATTCAAAATATACTGACATGCCATTGAATCTCTGGCATTATACCTGATGTCACGCTCTCCTTGAGTATTTCCAATATTTAAAATCGGATGTGAAAATGTCTCTGTTTTGACGTCGACTGATTCAGTCTGCTTGGCTTTCTCTCACACTCTGTCTGGGCTGCAGCAGTGCTTCAGTTATGAAAAGCTAACAGCTGCTGTTTGATTGGTTGCAAGCATCTAATGGCTGCTTTGTTGAGGAGTTGCACTGAGCAAATTGCTGCTTTGTGGTTGGTCAATAGAAAGCTGGTGGCTGCCTGTTTTGCTGACTGCATTGCCAATAAATCACTCACACCTTTTGTAATTGCCCATTTTAGAGAGATTAGTGCAGCTCACAGTGCTTTACAAGCCTGTAACAAACAAAGAAGAATTAAGCAAAATGAGCAGGAAATTATGGAGGGATCAAATATATACAGCTAATGTTTTAGTTTCTAATTATAAAAATAATCAAAACAGTGTTTTTAATTCTGAAATATAATTATTCATGAGTTTTTATATGTACAGTTTACAGAAAAAATTAGTTTTTGATCCATTTCTAATAAAAAGGTTTTTCTTGTTTTTAACACAGGTGGTCTAATACATTTCTTAAGCTTTTGCGTTTTTGACTGTGATTGGACTGTCTGCAAACAAGATGACATTTACCAGAGCATACAGTTTATGCTGAGGTGGTGTTGTGTCCCATCTACACCTAAAAA